TTTTTTTTGGTTTTGTTTTTTTAAGTTATACTCTGAATGGCCAGATCATCCTTTTCCAGCCACTAGGACTGTTGGAAAAGATATCTAACATCACCAGGACTGAATTACAACACACAAAAAAAAACTCAAACTCATTGCTGTGGAGTCAGATCCAACTCATAGAGACCCCTCCTTGGGTTTCCAAGGTGGTATCACTACAGAAGTAGCTTGCCCAGTCTTCCTTCCAAGGAGTGGCTGGTAGGTTTGAATCGCCAGCCTCTGGTTAGCAGTCAAATGCCTTAGGCACTATGCCACCAGAGCTCCCGAATTCTAATAATAAGGTAAAAATAAGTGTGTTTACAAAGGACCCCTTTGTTTGTCACAGTCATATAATCAAAGTTCCTATAAGTAGATTTACTGACCATCAAACTTGCTACTTTCCTTCATTAAGTTGTTAAAGTTATGCTCATGTTGTAATCGAACTTTCCTTCTCTCAGAAGCCATGTTATGCTCCACATGATCTTGTTCAGTCAAAAGTGTGACTGGTTTTAATTGAACCTAGAGAAAGAAAAACATTTATCTTTTATTCCTTTGTTAAATTATAAAATCACAATATGAATTTTGTAAAAATAAAATGAATTGTGTCACATTTTTCCTAACTCAAAGTAGAGCATTTGTAAGTATTTTCAAACACATTATTTTGACTAAAATGTTTGTCTTAAAATATTTTTTAAGCTAACAAAATCAATATGGGTTTAATTAATGAAAACACTGTGTAACTATGTTATTTTTTCAAATAATAAGATATATCCTTTTAAAAAAATTCCAAATATCAAATTTTCCTGATTTTTAAAATTTCCAACTGTGATAGTTAAGGTTGTGTGTCAGCTTGCCTGGACCATGATTCTGAGTAGCTTAAGCAGCTGTGATGTGGTTGTTCTCATGATGAGATTTGACGTAAGGTAGTCATCTCTATGGTGGGATACACTGTGAGCAGCCAATCAGTTGAAAGGTCGTTTCCTCAGGGGTGTGACCTGCTATATATATATATATATATATATATACACACACACACACACACACACACACATATACATATAGGCACACACACACACACACATACATATAGGCACACACACATCCTGGAAAAATTCTGACTTTCTGCTGGATCTGGATCCTGCATCTAGCTTATCGGTGGGTTTTTTGACCTGAATCAGTGGCCTGCCATATTGCCTGCCAATCTTAGAATTGTTGCCTTTGGCAGCCTGTGATCCAGCAATCTGCCATTTTACCTGCTGATCTTGGGTTGGTCATCTGCTGAAGTCAGCAGCCTTCTATACTGGCTGCCTGTCTTGGGCTGCTCAGCCCCTGCAGCTGCATGAGTCAGCAAAAGCCTCCAGCTTCATGTTTGACCCACAAACTTGGGACTTGCAAACCTCTACAACTGTGTGAGCCATTTCCTTGATATAAATTTCTCTCTCTCTCTCTCTCTCTCT